AAACGTTAACGTTAACGTTAAGTTAACGTAACGTTAACGTAGTAACGTAAGTACGTAACGTAGTACGTAGAGTAGAGAGAGAGAGAGAGAGAGAGAGAGAGAGAGAGAGAGAGGCCTTGACAAAAATGTGGTAACTCATGAGACTATCTTCTTCCTTGATCTTTTATTTGAAACCCTTCAATGGAGTAGTCCATCATTTATGTGATCAAGCCCATACCATTGTTTCATTAATGTATTGATTTTGCTTCTCATATTTTTAATTCCTACTTCATTTCCATTATCAAAGCTTGTTGTGATTCTTAATTTACAGTAGCTTTCTTCATTTTTGGTCATGAAAACTTGATATTTGAATAGTCCCAAAGCAATAGTATAGTTCATACACATAGTATGTGTAGACCAGCTTGCTTGCTTCATGATCTTGAGCAGTTTCAACTTGATTTCTTGATCTTATTTTTCTATAATTTTTTACTGGGAATATACAACTGATGAGATGTTTATTTCATCATATTTGAGCATAAGAAATAGTCTATTGAGTTTCTTTTTTAATGTTGAAAAGTTCGTGTGGTCCCTTATGGACCACATGGTGTAGTTTCACCATATTTCTTTATTTTGTGTAGTATCTCTATCAAACTTTGAAAGGCTATTTTGATACATGTCTCTATCACGATTTGATCCCCATTAAGTGAAATAAATGTGATCATTTGCTTCCCATTAGATTGATCTTCTTGAGTTATTATTATCACCCGTGCCTTAGACAATGGGACAAAATTAAGTTCTCAAAAGGCCATTTCGTGGCCTGGGCACAAGGGGTTCGAACCATGGTTTTTCCATTGATGTTTGTATGTTAATTTAATGTATTTATTGTTATTAAATGGATTCATGATTCATTAAGTTGAGTATGTTGTATGAATATTGAGATTGTTTTTATTTTTATTTTTTATCTTGCGATATGAGCTATAATGCTATGCATTATTGTTTACGCAAATTGAAATCTTATTGAATTATTATGATCAAGTGTATGATGTGTATGAGATATTATGAGGATAAAGAATGAAGATGAAATTATCATATAATTTTGATATAATAAGAAATTGCGAGTGCAAGTCATGCAATATGTTGTAGAGATGTATAATATGAATATTTGAATATTATATTCAGTTTAATTGTACTTTTTAGTAATGGATTTGTAACGGACCTATTAGGGTTGAATTTTGTTATTCAAATGTGTATAAACCATGTTTGTAGGCTGGAATATATGTATTATGGTTTTGTATTGAGATATTCATGCATTTAAAATCTTGAGTTTTTATACAATGGAATTTTTTTAAAAAAGATTACATTTCTAGCCTATTGATCTTATACCACCAACAATATAAACACTTGAAAACCTTGAAAATTGACGATCTAGACAATGCGTTACAAGATGCACTAGTTCCTATATTTGAAGTCCATTTTCTCTTTGTGTCTATGTATCTCAAGGTCTAGATGATTGGATTGAAAGGTTTTTGGACATCAGAACAACTTCTTCTTGTGAAATTTTGAGGTCCACCTTCTTTTGATTGTTAACATCCTCAACCTTAAATCAATTATTTTCCTTTAGTTTTCAACATTATCATCAATGTTTTGGATGAGAATGGCAGAAATATATGCAAGACAAGGAGCCCCTCTGGGTGCAAGGTGTCATTTGCCAACATGAATATTATTCAAGTTATCTAATTGAGACCAATGAAGGTGTTTATTCGGAAGAAAATTGGATAATAGAGCAATAGCAAGCACCTCCATCGAAAGCCAAAACCGAAATTTAGGCAGAAATTCCAAATGGATCGAGCTCAAACTTCACAAACTTCACAAACTTCATTGACCAAGTTCAAACTTCAAAAGAAATTTTCTCAAACTTTGTGATACATCTAAGCTATCAAACTTCACATCGGATGGTTGTAAGTAATTGTGGTCACTTTGTATCAAAAGTAAATGGTCTCATTGTATACAATCCTATTTTCAAAAAGAATACCTGTGTCTAAATAAATTTTGGATGAAAGAAGGCCAAGGAAATAAAATCTCAAAACAATATACAGTAAAACCATTTATCTTTGGTATAAGGTGGTCACAATTAATCTTGGCCATTGGATGTAAAATTGAGCAATTGTATTTCTTCTTGTACCAAAAATAAATGCTCTCATTGTATACAAAGCCAAAAAAATCTTTGCGGAGTACTCAACAAGAATTTCTTTTCTCTTTATATCTAAAGAGCAGATTTAGCAGGCCTACGAATAAAAAACAACTTATTGCTGAGAGAAAAGACTTCGCCATAATTTCAGCCACTCCCAATATGGCTTTTAAGAATATTTAAAAAGTTAGGCTTCGGACCGACTACTCCACCCATGCTCCAGCCGAGTACTCGTCCGAGTCCTTGAAAATTATTTTAAAATTTAAAAAAATTTTAAAATTTAAAATAAGGAAAATATATTTAAAGTAAAATTTAATAAAGCACAACTATGGTAAAAAAAATAAAAAAATTGTATACAATGAGACAAATTTACTTTTTATATAAAGAAAATAGTTTCATCTGGGTTGGACTGCATTTATACATATGAGGTCCATGAAGTGTAAAGCATCCATTTTAAAGATGGATGCAAGTAGGTGTTTCATCTAAAAACAATGGAAACTAACAGTTCAAATGTTTTTTACTAGAATTATTATTTACATTTTTTTAAATTTATTTAATTTTTCATATTCATGATCTTCATGTTAGAGATTACATGTTCTTAAAAATTAAGTTTTAAAATCCACCTCAAAAATATATTTATTAAGAAGCCCACGTTTTTACATATGTGGGCTTGGCCGAATAGAAACCGGGTCCAAACTAAATCCTCGGAGCAATGCTTTTGTGCAGGAACAAAAACATGGGCCAAGAAGAACATAAACCTACAAAAAAAAAAAACAAAAAAAAACATACTTTCCATATACAAAGGGTGAGGTTTGTATAAGGTGTCGACCTTAAACAATCACGGCAAGGTGCATCTCATTAAAAGATGTATTTTCCGTGCCAAAATTCTAATGATGGCCTAAAAGTCAAAATTTCACCCCTATAATGAAATTGAAAACTTTGAGAATGCTGCAAATCTAGTAAATTTATGAGCACTCGAAAATATTAAAAATGGATGGTCTAAATAATATGTTATAAGATGGACTAATTATAGGACTTGAAATTTATTTATTCTTTCATATCTATATACATCGATGTTAAGATGATCAATTGCATAATTTTCTAGTGACAAACCAATCTTTTTCAATAGGTTTTTGAGGTACACCGTACTTCTATTGCATGATTATAAGGTTGACACCTTATATAAAATTTTTGATTTAAAAAATGAATAGTTAGCCAGGAGTCTCTCGCCCGTTTCGGTTTTTTTAAAATCTTCTAATTTTATTTAAATTTTTTGACTTTATTAAAATTTTATAATTTTACTTAATTTTTTTTAAAATCCCCAAGCTGCACCTCCACTGAGGAGCCGACTTTTCGAACGCTACCTCTAACTACCGCTGCAAACAACCGATATTTCGGCATATCAAGCCTTGACGTTGATGGTTAGGCCAAAAATATTTCAATGCCCATTCTTGTCATTTACCAAAAACAATTGGGAGCATTATAGTCATTGTACAAGGAGTAAAAGAAGTGTGAAGACTGCACAATTTTTCTCTGTAGAGACGACCTCGTAAGTACGGCAGCGGTCTTAAAACATAAAAGCCATCTCTTTTGGCCGGGAAAGGGTTTACCGGCCATAATTGTGCCGGGAAATTGTTTCCCGGCGTTCTGTCATTGTGGAACGAAATCTGAGGCTTCAATTTCAGGTTCAGGTTTTTCTTGTGCCAGGAGCTTTTAGCATGTAAAGGGAGTGGAGAAGAGGTTCTTCATCAGAAAAAAGCATAGAAGAGGTTACACTTTCACCTTTAGGTTCTTTCTGTCTTTTGTCACTTGGTGCTTTCCTTTTCTTGGATCTGGACTTTTTTCAGAGCTTTTCGGTCTCTTTTTTCCTCAATTATTGAGCTTCTTTTGTACTGAAACTTGTAAGTGCGCTGGAAAAGAGGGAAAAAAGCTCTTCTTTTGAGAAATTATTGGAGATTTCAAGGAATGCTTCAATCTTGAGCAAAATTTCGTTGATCATGTCTTCATTTGTCTGAAATAACAGCTATTTCTTTGTGTTTCTCTGAGTGTGGAAGCTTTTCTGGTACAGTGTAACTGAGTTTGCTTTACTAGTCCATTTATCTATCCCGGTTTTTACGTACATATACCTGTAACTATTTACTTCTTCCGGTTAAAGTTGGTAAGAGTAGCTGGGAATTAGTGGCGACACATCCTCTTTGAGAAAATTGACGTATCTTATGAAGAAGGCTTTAGATTTTAGGCTTTCTCCAATAAGTTTATTTGTGTCCTTTTATTTTTATTCATGCTCTTATTGTGGGAAAGATTTAGTTTGTCACCCTGTATGTGTTTAGTGTTAGTGATGTATATCTATTGCCAAATAGTTTACTGAAATCATCTGCAAGAAAGAAAGAAAGAAAGAAAGAAAGAAAGAAAGGAAAACCTCACATCATGCTTTTTGTTGGAAGTTTGACCTTTACTTGGACGAGCAGTGTCTTTAAGGGTTTTCTTCGTGAATTATGATGTTATTGCAATTTTTGTTGCATTTGATTTTGGTCATCTAATGGTTTATCGATGTCGACTGTAGTTCTTGAAGATGTAAGATGGAGTGAAAGTATTCTTGGGAAAGTTTGATTCTTTATGCTAGGCTTGCTTAATTTTCAATAGCAATGGTACTTTGCCTCATGTCCAGTAGGAATCTTGACATCTTTGTGATAGAAGCTTTTGATCTTATAAATTTTGACTTCATTCTTTCAGACTTGTCTTTAGAAAGTAATAGAATTACCGAATTATAATTGGAATTGATTGAACTCCAGAATGACTCAAAATTTTATTTGCAGGAAACTCATTTAAATTATCTTTATGGGCATTCCCTGTTATTTCTGGAGTGGTTTGTGGTGACTATGAGGTCATTGGATTCATGCAAGGAAGTTCATATGTAATATCATCCATCAAGAATTCTTGAGGGCTATGTAAAGACGGAAATCTGAGAGCTTTAAAAATTTCAAATATAGTGTTAAATATCTTTTGACAAAACCTACTCTTGACACTGCTAGGAAAGCCATACAAGTACTATGCATTGACAAACACTAAAAGGGTTGTTTAAGTATTTTCTTACTTCAGGAATTTGGGAGAGTGTTTGTTAGAAATGGGAGATCCTTTAGAGAGATTGGGGTCTGAAGCAGCGGCAGGACTAGAGTCATGCATGAAGGAGGAATTAAGCATGGACATTGATCCTCCATTTAGGCAGAATGTTGCGACGGCCGAGGATTGGAGGAAAGCTTTGCACAAGGTCGTTCCAGCAGTTGTTGTGCTCAGGACTACTGCACCTCGTGCATTTGACACTGAGGCTGCCGGTGCAAGCTATGCGACTGGATTTGTTGTTGACAAGTCTCGTGGGATAATTCTCACTAACCGCCATGTTGTTAAGCCTGGTATGTTCTATTATTGCGGACTATATTGGTTTCTTGCTTTGGCTACATTGTTGTCACATGGTTCTTTTGGAGGTTTTGTATTGATATTTTGCACTTAAACTTTTCTTGTTTAGGTGAAATTTGTGGTTTTCTTGATTGGGTAGGTGGTTATCACATGCTTCTTTTAGGATGTGGTATTGATAAATTTGTAGTCGCACGTTTCTTGTTTAAGGTGAAATGATCCTACATGTCTTTGTTGTGTTTTGATGGGGCCATAATTTTCTTTTCTTTGGCGCTTAGCTTCATTTGAATATGCGAGCGGTTTGATTGTCAGATGTCTTTTCATGTTTTAAATGTGGTTTTGAATAAGATGCATGAATGCTAAGGGTTTAAAGTGGGTATAGTGGGTATAGTGGGCTGCCGTGCTGCCAACCCTTATTCTGGATTATCAAACATGTTGTGTAGCCTTTCTGTGGCTTCTGTGCTGAGGATCTCTCTGTGATGATCGTTTACTGATGATCTTTACTTTTGAAAGCTCCTAGTTAGTGGCCATGTCATGGCATACTTACTTGCTAGGTGCTTCTTAATCATTTGCTTATGTTTGCGAGTTGACATCTTGTGTAAACTTTCATTGGATTCTTTTATTATCTTATTGTATGAGGGCTTCTTTCATTTTTCTGATGAGCTGTTGGGTAGTCTTTTTGGGAAGTATGGTATGATCCAAGAGACTATGGGGTTCTATTGGAGAAGGTTTAACCCTCAGAACTTGTTTTTGTTTGTGTTTTCTTACTGTTTAGGCGTTAGTTTTGTACTCAAGGTGTTTGTCCCTTATTTTGTTTGCATTTCACAATCTCTTCATGTTCTAAATGATTTCAATGTTTCGTGCTGGTTGTAGGGCCTGTAGTTGCAGAAGCTATGTTTGTCAACAGGGAAGAGATTCCTGTACACCCAATTTATCGTGATCCTGTAAGTCATTATTACTTTTTTGAAAGTGTGTCATTATTCCTTGAATTATACTCTACATCATTCTTTATATGTGTATATTTCTTAAAAATTATACCAATGAACTTCCATGTTGTTTCCTGTTGTATTCTTGTATTGTGGTTCGTTTAATCAACTAAGGTAAAATGCACTGTTTGTAGCTTTTTATGGTCAGATTGGAACCAAACTAGTGAAATACTTGAGGTACTCGATGCACCTATGTGGTACTTGCTGCATTATCAGTTTAACTGAGTCATTTTAGGATGAAAGGAAACTATCTATACAAATTATCCTTGTCTATATGGTTCATGCTGTTTTTCCTTGATAAGTAGATTTTTGCATTTCATATTTTAATATCTTCATTTACAGTTTACATGCTAAAAAGTGCTACTAAATTGTGAGAACATGCTGTTGAGAAATTGCATTTCCCTTCCAAAATGCATTTGATGGGACCACAAGGATGAGCTTGAGCCAGTGGGCTCTTTTAATTGATGGTGTGCATGACCAACAAGCGTACCCAGTGGAATTTCCACCATGAATCATGCAATAAATTTCTACAAATATGGTAACTTTATTGCAGCAATACACAAAACTGACCTCAAACATGTACATCCACAAATGGAAACCATCAACTTGCTGGCGACATCTCTGTCTGAGATAGTAAATTGTTGCTTGAAGTCAAAACTTGGCATTGAAATATGGGGAGTTTTGTGCGTCTCATGGAGTGAATGAACAAGGTTCTACAATCTACACTATGGGCTCCAACCTCTTCTTCAATTCGTGCCTGTTGACCAGGTTGTGGCCCGAGATTCTCTTGTCGAATAATGGAATTTCTAATTGCAGTGTTTTGTTGACTCACTTGTTGAGAAGGTGATTCCCCTTAATGTGCCCTGTCACATTGTTGGGAAATTTGGATGTAGGCAACTTCCTTGAGTAGGAGGACTTCCAACTTCAACCCATGAGGTGGGAACAGGAGAGGGGCCATTTCATTTCTTGCCTAGAAAATTGAGATGCTTTTTTTTTTTTTGAAATTGTTAAATTGTTAGAAAATTGAGATGCTTTGACTTTGTAGAAAAAAAAAATGGAAATATTTTATGTATACCTATGAATGTAATATGTGTATTTCACACCAGTAATATTAGGATTTGTGTGCATTTTTTTTTTGTGACAGAACAAAACATTCACTATGTCATATATGAAAATTGATTAAAATAAAGTATATTCATGAAATATAAACATAGGCAGTAGATAATGCTACATGGACATCGAACATCAAACCTATTTTGTATGATATCTGTTGTAGAAATGAATGGAGTTGTGATTTATCGATGACAATATAACGAATGCATAAATAACTTTCTTTGATAGAAAACATACCAATTTCAAAATCATTATCTGCAGTCTTAATATTTAACCCTAATCCAATACCAGTGGAAGTTATCTAGAATACCATTTACCATTATAATACATAAGGAAAACCACAAAAGATACTTATATTGTTGCTTACAGTTGTGCAATGTATGTAATATTTGATGTAGAGAGCATGCAGGACTTTTTTTCAGTGGGACTTTTATTCATCTAATCACGTTTCAAATCTCTTCTTCATTCCTTGAACACAGTGTCACTTTGTCATCAACAGAATCTTCTCTATCCTCCATATACTGCATCTCCTCCTTATTCTCCTAGGTACCAGGATCCTGTCATCTTGTTTCTAGATTCCACAGATTGGTGTTGTGATCTTGTATGCAATTCTGAAACTTTGGATAACCCTACAGCCTGCTCCATATTTATCCTTCTCAATGTTTCTCCTTTCAATACCCTTGCTTGTCAAGCCACTCTATACAGTTTTTTTTTTGAGAGAGAGTTAACTGTTTATTGAAGAAAAAAGAGTTTGTACAAGTGTTGGGTCTAGCGTTCCTTACAAAAATTGGGAGCTACCAAGACCCTAACGGGCAAGGTAATCCCTTTACAAAAAAGCCATAAAAGAGTTAAATGCTTGTGACAACAATGTGTTGACTTAGCAAAAATGGTGGAAGGGTTTATATCGCACCCTATTTACAACGGGAAGTGAGTAGAGCACTAAAAAGGAGAAAATGGCCCAGCTTGCTTAAGAAGGTTGAAGATTATCTGTAAGATCGGCTCCATCATTGGCCATGAGATCTGTGAGTGCGTTGGACGTCCTGAATGTATGCCTGCATGAGACGCTAATACCCCCCTGCAAATGAATTCAATCTCATCAACGATCGGCAGTAGATACCATGGTGGGAAAGACTTTCCGGATGCCCAAGAAATGATGTTGTATGAGTCCCCTTCAACTATTAAGTGGGATCCCCAAGATGGGTTGAAATGCTTGAGCCCTATCAACAGTGCTTTTGCTTCAGCATGTTGTGAGTCAGTATAGCCAAGGGATTCAGCGTACGTGAGTAGAATATTCGGTTCATGGTCTCGGAATACACCCCCAACCCCAGCTGGCCCTGGGTTACCCCTCGAGGAACCATCAAAATTGAGTTTGATAGTGCCTCTCGGGGGTGGTTGCCAGTTGTTGGATTTTTGAGATTTCTTAGGCTGATGAAAGAGGATATTACCCCATTTGCTAAGAAAAAAGTTTGTTGGTGTACCCGCAAAGACGTTGTGGTTGGTCGCCCAAAATGTTACCAAGGTCTTAATCTTGTGAAGGAGTGCAGGCAGTTGTTGATAACATCTCTGGAATATCCTATTGTTCCTTTTTATCCAAATGACCCATATGAGTGCGACAGTGGCAGCTTTCCATATTATTTTTTCAGCTTTAGGCCAGGGCTTGGCGAAATCTATGGATAGGAGGGAAGGAACCGTGGGTGGAGTAGCCCATTCAAGGCCAAAGAGGTGCAAAAGTCTACTCCTATCACACCTGTTCACAATGAATGAAGAGATGAGCGTTAGATTCCTCATCTTTTTGACACATAATACATTTGTTTGGGGTATGAATTCCCCTCTTTTTTAGTTGGTCCACAGTTAAGGCTCTCTGTGATCCAGCTATCCAATTGAAGGTCTGGACCCTTGGGGGTGCTATGGAAGACCATTTTGGCTAGCAACGAGGGAGGGTTGAAAGGCAGAGTGGGAGATTGAATGAGCCTTTTATAAAACGAGGCTACTGTGAAGCACCCAGAGGGAGAACCACTCTATATAGTTATCTATATAAACAACGTGATCCTGCAATATTAAAGGTTTAGAGAGCATTTTAGTTCACTGGTTATACTCCACAAATTTAGAGTAGGACACACTCGCCAAAAACTTATTCAAGTCTCTGTCAAAACTAAGATAATCAACACCAGGCTCTTTGTGAAGGTAAACATGGACATGGTTAAATTTAAATAGCTTGGGTTTTATATATATGAATATGTATGTATGTATGTATGTATGTAGGTATATGTGTGTGTGTGTGTGTGTAGATAGATAGATAGATAGATTGGCTTTTTAAACCTACCAAGGACAAACATGCTTGTATTCTTCTAGAAACACGAAATGCTCCATCTGTGAAATAGAAATTGTAATATTCAAATCTCCTTGTTCGGAATACAACCCTCCAAATTCTGGCTGAGAGCTGACATGACTTACACGAACTAGATCCACCTTGTAACAGGCCCACGCAGAGGCCGACTCGTGTGAATTAGTGTTTCAAAAAGTGCTAGGCGGCGCCCAGGCGGCCGTAGGGGTCCAAGCTGCCCAGTGCCTAGGCGGGCGCCCAGAACCTGGGCAGCCCAGTTGAACAAAATCATGCAAGCTAAAACAATAAAACCATACAAGCATACACTGATTGTCTGATACACACAAAAGTTAGATAGTGGAAACTAGAAAGTAGAAACTAAAAATAAGAAAAAGAAAATATATCGAAATTCTGAAAATATACAGTTTAGGACGCAATAGTCAACACTTAACACTCAACACCAAGAGTCAAGCACTCAAGCGTCTTCAACTCTTTATTCTTTAGTCATCATCATCATCAGAAGGAATAGGGTAAGCATCATCACATACATCAGATTTGAGTCCATCATCATTAGAGGCATCTCCCTCTTCAATATAATGCTCGTCCTCCTCTGTTTCTTCTGAATTTGCATCTTCTTCCTCTTCTTCTACCACCCTCTTACTATGTGCAGATAAAGCCCTAGGACTCCTGGCTGCTCTACCTTTTTTTATCTTTTTGTACTTCCTTGAACTCAAATATTGTATAATCTCCTCCTTGGTAGTCTCAGGAACATTTTTACACAGGGCAACATCCCCCTTAATACCGGCAAGGTATTTTTTGAACCGATAAATACCCCCATTAGTATCCTTTCCACAATAATTACATTTAATACGATTTTTGTCATTCGAATTCGGGTTATAACCTTACTTTCAATATGGATCACCACTTCTAAAAGAACTTGGAGAAGATATTTCCATAGAACGAGGCTCATTTTCATCATTTTCTAGTTTTTCTAAATTAAAAAATTGTCTAATCTCAATCCAAATAGCTTCAAGAATCTTTTTACAAGAAGCAACATTGCTTTTAATACTGGCAAGATGTTTCTTGAATCGGTTAATGCCCCCATTGGTATCTTTTTCACAAAAATTATACCTTATACAATTTTTATTGTTTGGTTTCGGGTTATGACTATACTTTCAACCCGGATCACCTCTTCTAGAAGAACCAAAAATAGATCTATTCAAATGACAAGGATTTGTTCCTGTTTTTGTTTTACAGAACTCAAATATTACTTAATCTCCTCTCTGATAGCTTCAGGAATATTTTTACAACGGGCAACATCGATGTTTCTTAAACCGGTTTATACCCCTTTTTGTAATTTTTTCACAATAATTGCATCTAATGTAATTTTTGTCATTTGGATTCGGGTTATATCCATATTTCCAACCCGGATCTCCACTTCGACTAGATCCTGAAGAAGACAATCTCAAAATAAAACAAGCAATCTAAAAATAAAGTTTTGCACTTACTTTGATTGCTCGAACTCCAAACTCTCACATCTACGATGTTTTCTGGTGCTAAAATATTTAAAAATACCCTTTAATACGATTAAAAAAACTCCAAAACTAAATCTAATCTACCTCGGTGATGTTTAGATCCATGTTCTGTAACTTTGAGAAACACTTCGATCCAATGAAAATCACAAAATCTAGTTTTTTTGAGGTTTCTTTCTCTAAAGTGGTTTCTTATGGGTTTAGGTTTCAAATGAACCTAAAACCCATCGTTAAAAGCTTTTATTTTAAAAAAAATTCAATAGAATAAAAAAAAAAACCTCATTTCCGCCCCGAAGAGGGGCGTAGGCCCTAGGTGGCCGCCCAAGGCTGAGCGTGGGTGCCTGCCTAGGTGGGTGCCGGCGGCCTCCCAGGGACTGTTGCCTAGTTTGGCCGCCTAGGCCTGGGCGATGCTCCTAGGCTTTTTGGACCGCCTAGGCGCAGGGCGGTCCACTTTTTTGAACAAAGTGTGAAATAGAGACATTGACTCCTAATTCCTACTGCATCTTTTGGGTCAATGTTATGACCTGAAAAACTTATAACACTTCTAATTTTTTAGTAAGCAAACGTAGCTTCTAATATTCATCTTGATGATTGGAAAAAGCATAACTAACTTCTAATTTTTTTGTAAGCAAACTTAACTTCTGATGTTCATCTTGATGATTGGAAGAAAAGCAAACTTTTGTCACTAAATACTCTTACATGGTACATATGCAACCAGTAGTTAGATATATGACTCACACAATGCATAGTTCTAAAGTTCTGGCTTTGGATTTGGCTTATAGTGATTTTCAAAAGAACTTGGAAACATCCTGCACGTTTATGGAGATCAGCGTCTTCAGGTTTCAATGGTTTTGATAACGTGTAAACTTGAAGGAGAATTTTGATGAACTTATTCATTTAGTAAAAAAGAAACTAATCTCCTGTATAAAGATAATAAATATGCATTAGAACAATTGGGTAAATGACCCCTATATGTGTTACCGTAACATGATCAATAATCTCTATGTTTATTTGGGATAACATAAGATGGCAAAATAATGTAATGCATGCCAATGACTGATTATGTACAAGTAGGGATAATGCTTGTACTATTCATTTTGATGTGTATGTGGATGCAAGTATCGATGTTAACAACCAAGAAATGGACGACCCTACACATTTTAGCTCTTGGCCTTTTCTAGGTGCATGACTTTGGCTTCTTCCGTTATGACCCTGGAGCGATACAATTCCTGAACTACGAGGAGATCCCTCTTGATCCTGAAGCTGCAGCTGTTGGACTGGAGATTCGGGTTGTGGGTAATGACAGTGGTGAAAAGGTATGTGTATTGTGCTTTGTACATTTTGAGTCATTGCTCATGGAACGCTAGACAGTTCTACAGTAAAATATTTCATGCGTATCCGTAGATTAAGAAAAGAAGTTTGTTACTTTGTTTAAATTTTTTCAATCATGATTGATGAAGATTTCATTATTAGACATTGCAACACATGTATTACATGTAGCATACAAAAGTTATATGACTCAATAAAGAACATTGTGCAGAAATAGAAAAGTAAGAGCATTGGTTGATGCATCATATGTTTTATGTCTAAATCAGTAAAATGTCTGGAAATCCATTACTTTGAGTGCTATGCTGATGCCAATAAGAATCCTTTTAACTCAGATGAAAGATTCCATTTCTCCCGCTTGGAGTATATCTTTATAGGATAATTCTTGGTGATGTTTGCACCAAAAATTTGTATACAGTTTTAGGACATTGGAAGTAAACAATTACATGTTTGCTTGGTCTAAAAGAATTGCATTGCGTTCATTTCTGTGCAATGAGTTAGTAGCTCATTTGTCATAAGAGATAAGATTTTTGATGGTGATGGATTCTTTGCTTATGTTGTCATTATGAATTTCCAGGTTTCGATTTTGGCTGGGACCCTTGCTCGTTTGGACAGAGATGCTCCTCATTATAAAAAGTATGTTATTTTGTATATTTGAATTCCTTTGGTCTTATCCTATGACTGGGAATGGATAAGTACTTCCGATTATTTTTTAGTCATATGCTAAAACTTGAAACTTTTGGATCTTCGACTAAGTTCGCTAGGGAAACATGAGACAATATGCATCCATGTAGTTCTTTTCCTCTCTCATCAAGGATTGGTAAATCATCACTTGTATGCATCAATGGGTTAACCTACTGTTGTAGTAATCACATAGGTTTAGTGTCTCCACGAAAATGAATTTTGAAAATGATTTTCATGGTTTTGTATCAAATGCAGAATGTTTCCCAGCTCTTCTTTTTTGAATGTTCCAGCTCCATGGTCAGAGTAACCTATACATCCCTGCCAACCTCCCATAAGAAGCTTCAACAAGGAAAACCATTACCATTGTCTATGAAATCCCCATGTGACTAAGATTATGCATGTGATATATGCTATGAATGAATTTTGTGTCATTCTCCAGAAAATTGCTAAAATTCACTAGCATTTTTTATGTTGATTGTAACATATTGTTTTGAATTCATCCATTGATATGTCAGTTCTGGCTAGTCCACTTGAAGTGTCCTATGTTCAACATTTTCTTCCCAGTAATTTGTTACTACATAACTGGGTCTTTCCTTTCTGGAAGTTGGTGAAATATTGCCCGCTGCGTAATGTATCTGTGGACTTATTGGAGCATACCCCAATCAACATGAAACATAGTGAGGAAGGAATCAAGGATTCACATATAGAGGGTGTGAACTGGCTAGGGATAGGTACTTGTGGAGGTGATTGACTTTCTTTGTTGCATCTCGGCACATGTCACACCTATTGGGGAACTGTAATCTCCTGTCCTGAAGGTTATCATCTGATAGAAATCTTGTCCCTGACTATCAACCAGCCAAAACATGATTTATGAGTGCACATGCAAAGCCAACCGTGAACTTGGAAGTGGCATATCTCTGTTTTAAGGTCATAACAGTGTTACTAAGACTGGACCTCGGGTCGAACCAATGGAGGCACTGGTTCGATTGGACAGTTTGAGCTGGATCAGTTCACTGTCAATCTGGTAAAAAAAAAAACAGGAAAATACAAATAAATTAGAAACGAAGAATAAGGAAAAATCTAGAAATGTAAGACAAATTAGAAAATTATCAGGAACGTTAAGAAAATTATACATTCATAAATACACAAGATTAGAAGCCAAAGTTACAAAAAATATGTAAATACAACTCACTATATCATATGATGCCCTCTATTAGGGCACTAATTCTTCAAGCAATGACCATTTAGACTGTGAATTTGAATGGAAATGAGCAACTAAAGTGAATCACATCCATTGAACAAAAATTTGGCCTCCTTGCTGCCTAGGCAGTGGGTTCTGGGAGGGCATGCCTAAGGCGGGTGCCTTGGTGGTCTGGGTGCCCACCTAGTGCCATCCCTGAAAAAAAGAAAAAAAGAAAAACAAATTCAAATCCACCCAAACAAAAATAAGGCCTGGTATTGCCCTTCTCTCTCTCTCTCTCTCTCTCTCTCTCTCTCTCTCTCGGGTCCATGTGCTCTCTCTACATATGAGAAGAAGAAGAAGAAGAAGAAGAAGGACTGCAAGTGTTTGATGCGTGGCCTCTCTCTCTCTCCCCCGCACACACACACACAAAGATACACATGGACCCATATGCTCTCTCTTTACATGTAGAAGAATACAAAGAAGAAGATGACCTTCAAGTGTTCAATGCGAGGTCCCTCTCTCTCTCTCTCTTTCTCTCTCTCTCTCTCTCTCTCGATCTCGACATATCCTCAAGTGTTCAAAACCTCTCTCTCTCACAAATACGTATCCAAAAGGGAAAAAAAAGAAAAGAAAGCGAGGATGGTCTTTAAGAATTTCATGCGAGACCTCCAGCACACACATACGTGCGCATGCACATACACACACACATTCACAAAACACACACACACACACACAAAGCAACATATGGCCCATACCCCTGGGTGGCCCGCCTAGGCAGCCGCATCTGCCTTCTTGAACATTGATCACATCATATCGCTATGAACATATCCAGCTATCCATAATTAAAAATTACTAAGCCCCATGGCTCATGCTGTCATGCTCCCACTGGCTTACATAAATTCATAAGGAGTCAAGGACAAAAATTCATGAGCCATGAATTCATGAAGGCACAAAAAAAATCAGCCCACAATCCCCTTCCTGTGATCCCACAGTTAGATTGCTATAAATGCTCTTATATATGGTAATGCTAAACACGAATAAATCCAAATTATGTGCGATCATCATCTTCATCTTCATCTCCTTCTTCTTCGTCATCATCATTGAATTCCTCACCAGTAAAACCCTCTAAATCAGCATCTCTACAAACTATGAGAAAGATTATATATTACTTAGTTATAAACTTATTATTTACTAATAAATCATATGCATAAGAGCGTAAAAATCTTACTAAGTTATTAATATTTACTATAAAATCAAGCTTTTATAGTTTAGCATAGAACTTAAAATTTACCTCCTTGTGGTGGTTCCATCTTCATCTAGTCATCTGATTCTTTTGCAATGCCTTCAAGAACTGTGTGCTATTGCTCAACAACCCATTCTTCAACTATAGTGATCTTCACCATGTCAATTGGTCCGAGCATGTGGGTCTTTGAATGGTCCTACATTTCTTAACATTTCATATTAGTTAAAATTTTAAACATAAGAACTTTACAATTGTTGAATGCATAATAGCAAATATTAGAAGAAGCTATTGTCTATACCTCAGCCTCAAGTTGTATTGCATGAAAACCAAGTTGTTCAACCTCTTATGCCTCAACAGATTTTGCATGTCCTTATGTATGCATTGGCGCATGCTCCTATTCCTCGCGCATCCCCTTGCATTGCATGTTTGGCTAAGGATACAAGCGGCCAACTTTTGAAGTCTGAGAGCATCCCTACCAATTTGCTCTTAGCCTTTTAGAAAATAAAAAAATGTGAGATATTATAATTTCTATTAAACCTTAAGAGGATAAAAATTCGATTAATAAAATGCATTATGTGAAAGGAAACTGTCATGTTCATATAAGAATATCAATAAAGAACTGCATCCAAGAGACCTTGGTGAGGGATGCGTTGAATCGTTGATGACATGAAGCTTTGTGAGACCTTGGTGAGGGATGCATTGATGCTGGCTATGGCCAGGGCTTCTACCTGTCTGGGACTCCCCCCGCTATACCATACTCCCACCTTATCCACCCTAGAATCTCTCCCCATTCTCCCCTTATCAACCAAAAGCAAGCCTCTGCTTCAATCCCCTCCCATCCTACTCCGCTGCTTTCTCAACCTTCTACCACTCCCTCTCCCTGCATCTGTTCCCATTAGATGCTTCCCTCCCTCCCTCAATCCTAAGCCTGGCTGTCCCTCAATTTCCTCCGTATCAGTCCCTTCAATCCTGTTTGATTGGGCATTTTTTCCCCTGCAGAGATGATTTCAGAAGTATAGAGAGGTGGGCTCAGAAAATTTGGGATGAGCAAACTTTGGTTGCCGCCCTCTCTCAAGCGGCGATTTGCTTTTCTCTTTCCCCTCTAAGGCCATCTTAGATAGAGCTCTACAATGGAAAAATCCCCCATTCAAATGAGCTTCTCTTTTGCTTTCGCGGTGGACCACTGAGTTTGGAGCTACTCGTCCCCACATGATCTGTCTTCGGGCTTTCCCGGTTGACCACTGAGTTTGGATCTACTCGCCCCCACATGATCCGTCTTCGGATTGCCCACATCCCTTTACAAGCATGGCATCAATTGACTTTCAAGAATATTGGAGATGCTTGTGGAAACTTCATATCTACAACAATGGAAATCCCTAGAAGTCTTGCCCTTGGGGTCCATCTAGATCCTCATCAACACTGTGCATCCCAATTTTATCCCGTCTTTCCTCTTGCTCGTTATTGAAGGCCTTTTCTTTTGCGCCTCCCTAACCTGGTACCCGGCCTCACCCTCTGTAAGTCGCCATATCCAGGATCACCACGCAGACCACACATGAGCCCCAAACCTGACCATAGTCAGCCGGCTGATCCAAAAGGGTGGACTACCGTATCTAGAAGGCGTAGGAAAATAGCCCATTGCAACCGCAAAAGGGATCATCATAAAGCCCACATTGTGCGACCTAAGCCACCCATGGAAGTGCCTCATCACCCCTCTTGTGCTCATGCTGCCACATATGTGGAAGCCTCGGTCAACACCCCCCATCTGCCACCCGCCCACAATACTATGATTCCAGCATACCCGTTTGTCCCTTCCTTGAGCCCCTACACCCATGTGCCACCACCCTCTTCCCTCGTCCAGGCGGCCCAATCAATTTCGCCCTCTCACGTGCCCACCCTTCACACCCTTGGCCCTATCCAGATGTCACCCTCTCCTCTCATCCCTCCCCATCCCATAACTTCGTCCTACGGTGCTCCTCTCTTCCCCCCCTTCCCTCAAATCTTGGTCCCTCCATGTACCCACTAACTCCATCACATGCGGTCCCCCACAAGCCTTTTGCTTTGGTCGTCGACCTTCGCCCTCTTATCTCAACCGTCGATCTTGGATCCAGGGACCTTGGTCCTTATGCCACCGCACCCTCTTCTCGCTCAACCCCTATCCTTGCTCTCTCTCTCTCTCCCTCCAACAGTAGCCCTCAGCCAGAGACTATGATCCCCCTCCAACATAACCCCTCTTTATCCCTCTCTGTCCCCTCAGTTGCCACCTCCACCCCCACATCCTTCCTCCCTCTATTAATTCACGATTCCACCAGCAAGCACACGACCTCGGCCTTGGCCTTGCCCTCACCTTCGCCCTTTCCCCCCTCTTGTCCTCTACCAACACCTCTAGAAGTCGCCTCCCTCCAACCACCGCTCGTATCGGTCTCTCTTGATGCGGTGGGCTCATGGCTGGATATACTTTCTTTGCACGTTGAGGCCTTCCAAGCTATGCCGTCTTTGCTTGACGATTCGCCGAAGGTGATACCTCTT